TTGTGCAATTACTAGCGAAGCCCGCGTTGATTCCGGGCGGATTATATAGAGTATCACCACTAAGATGAGTAACGCCCATATAGTGGAATTGCATCGCATTTCTAGCTTGGCATCTTAGAGAAATTATATCAATATTTGCATCGTCTTAAAAATACAGCTTTTCTACCGAGCCAACCTCAACACACAACATGCATTTATATAAAAATTTGGGATAGATCATGGTCAGCGTTAAAAAACTAACAAAATTTACTTCTTTGCCAGCAAAAGCCAGAGCAGCTAATAACATCACATTTAAATATGATATTAACACACATACAAACATAATTGCTTGCACGGCCCTCATACTAAGGCTCATAGAGTCGAAGCTAAGAGTAAATTCTGTGAGTTTGTTTTTGGTATCACTCTGCTACTTATTCGCAGGTATGCAATTGAACAAATTGGTAGCGACAAATTGGAAAAAAAGGTATTGTGGCTAGGAGCTCCTATTAATTTAAATCCAAAATAAGAACTGAGGTACAATTATAAACTTATACGGCAAGTCAGCTGTTATTATAAAGCTGTGATCTTATGCTGCGAGTCAGTTGCGTTTATGCTAAAGCTTTTTTTCTTAATGTCCAAAACTCGCGAGGGCAGCTTTCGTATTCAAAAGATAAATGCTTAGAGTTATGTTAACGTTAAGAATTGCGCACGAGAATTTTGGTCCATAGCTTACGTTAAGAATCTGAATATTTTACGTTTAGTGGTTGTGCTTTAATGTTTATGTTACAGCCGGGAGTCTGGATCTTTATGTTAGAAAAGCCACAGGTGCGCGTAATTGCGAAGTAATTAGAATAGAAACTTATTCCGAAATATTGTTTACAAATTCAATAATTGTCGCGATCGATCACTCGTTGAGGTAAGACGTGCCTAATTTTGCCCGGAAGCTACGCTTTATTTATCAATTCTGCTTATCTGTGTTTTATTTATACAAGCAACCGCTCTCTCGCTGAGGCGGGATAATTGACTGCTAATAAGCATCAATAAACTGTTGACGCTCTGTTATTGTCAACATGAGCGACAACAACGACGACCTAACGGTTGGACTTGGCAGACAAAAAAACCAAATCCAAACAAGCGACCAAACCAAATCTTACATCCAGTGGCAAAAAAAAACTAACTGCTCTGGAAACTACACATATCAGCTTTAGTAAGACAGAGCATTGTTAATATATAGCCACCTCGCAAAACTAACGATATAGTGCAATGCTATCGTTGTCAAGAATTTGAACACACAATATCTTATTGCGCCAAACTCTTCAGGCGCGTAGAATGCTCTCTTAGACATCCAAGCAATACTTGCCCCAAAGACAAAGGATTTCCATTTACAAAATGTGCCAACTGCCTTGAAGATCATGCCGCTAGCTATAAAGGGTGTAGAATTTATGAGGAACTTCTGTCTAGAAAGTCGGTAACTGATCGGAAAAGCCTTAGGAACAGTACCGGCGAGAATAAAAACGCGTACAGAATATCACAAAGCTTTGCTCCGCCCAATTAATCAACCTTAACCCAACAAGCCAACGATAATCAAACCTATGCTCAAGTTGCTTCCGGAAACAATACAAACAATTAACTTGAGAGAATAGAACACCTACTATAAAAATAATTTAAGCCCAATAACAATTTAGATAATATGATCATGTTACTAGTTAACAAGCTATGCAAGTAACTCTAAATATAGGAATATGGAATGCCAATGGGCTTTCCAACCATGTAAATGAAATATCTTTATTTTTAAAAACTAATGAGATCCACATCATGTTAATATCTGAAACTCATTTTACCACCAGATCATTCTATAGAATAATAGGATATGAAATAGTCAGAGCTGACTATTATGGACAGCACCAGAGAAAACGCTGCCACAATTGAAATCAAATGTATATATGCAAACGTAACAGTCACAGCGATATACCTCCCCCAAGATTGGCACTCAAAGATACTGACTTGCAACTTTTTCCAAAATTCTGAACGAAGTTTATTGGTGATGGTGACTTTAACGCCAAACACCCATGGCTGGGCTCTAGCATGACGAATCCACAGAAGAACGAGCTATTCAAATGTATAAGCAATAATAACTATACAGCCCTTTCAACTGGCAAGCCCACATATTGGCCTACTGACAACCGGAGAATACCTGAACTTATTGACTTCTTATTATACTCTGGAATCCCACAATTACATATGCATATTGCGGAAAGCTTTGATCAAAGCTTAGACCGTTCTTCGATACTAGTGACGTACAGTACTATAGCTGAATTCCTAACGAAACCATACAAAATAATCTCTGCAACAACGAACATAACGCCTTGAACAACTTTAAAAACGGACATAGCGCCTTTAGAAACAACTATTAACTTGGATATTTCGTTAAAAACAGATGAGGTAGGCTCTGCTGTAGAGCTCCTTACAAGTGTCATTCAAAAAGCGAGCTATCTGCGCACGTCGCCTGCAGTTAGGAATGAACAATCTAGCCCGCCGTATCTTTCAGTTGAAATCCGGTTGAAATTTGCGCAAAACGATACCCTGGTGACAAAAGATTGTTTAATAAAGCCGCATCTGACCTCAAGAAATTGTTGGCTGATTTTAAAAATGAATCTCATGCTGCATACCTCAATCTAGACCCCCACTCTTGCAACTATGACTTCAATCTATGGTGAGCTACTAAATATCTCAAACGCCCTGCTTAGAGAAAGGGTTTGTAGTTCGTAAGAGTATTGGTATGAGACTGATGACGAGCAAGCCGAAGCATTTGGACAGCATTTGATGACACTAATAGAAAGGGAAGTAGAGAGTTTTCTTGACTTATTATGTCAAATGAGCTTACCAATTCGCTGCATTAGCTCCGAGAAAGTTGTACCAGAGATTAAACAAATAAACACTAAACAAGTAGGGGATACCCTGAACCCTCTTCTTCCAACATCAAATGCATATATATATATTTTATTTTAGAAGCTATATATTAAGTTTGGTGACTCTAGCTCTTATTATTTACCAAAATTGCCCAAAAAACAGGATATCGATATCGATTTTTATCGCTTGGAAACGGAGTAAGTTATCGATTAACGGAAACAAACTCTATCTGTGCGGGCACTGGGAGCATCTACATCTAATATATCTAATTTCAAGTCTCTAGCTTTTACAGGTTCTGAGATCCTTTCGTTCATACATACGGACGGACGGGCAGACGGACATGGCTAGATCGACTCGGCTATTGGTGCTGATCAAGAATATATATACTTTATGGGGTCGGAGATGCTTCTTTCTACCTGTTTCATACATTTGGATTTTGCAGAAATACAATATACCCTTAAACCCATTTTTAATGGGTTCAGGGTATAATTATTAACGAACTTTTGAACCGCATTGTTGATCCCGGAAGCCATTGAAATCGGTAAATGTTGTGTTTTTTTGAAAACTTATGTAAGAGGAGGCATCTCAAACCCCATATATATATATATATATATAATAATATATTCTAGACCAGTCGATCTAGCCATCTCCGTCCGCCTGTTAGACCGCCTGTCCGCAGGCAAAAGGCGTCATCTTCGACCCCATTATACATATTCTAAATCGGCATCAAAAGCCAAGTCGGTCTAGCCAAAGACAATATAAACACTAATATGAGTAACGCCCATACATTTGAATGCGACGCAAATTTTCTAGCCTGGCCTTTCATCTGGCCTTTGAGGCTTCGTACGGCATGTCTGCCGACTGGTTGTTCGTTCTCCAGAGACCAGACGAACGAATGCCGAAGTCGCGTTTTACAGGAAAATTTAAGAACTTATATAATTTTTACACAAGGCGCTTATTGCGCAATAACTATGTTATTTCACTAATTTCACTTTTCTTTTTGGACAGTGTATACTCGAGTAAAGTTCTTGTCTCAGCCAAGGGCGTGCGTGCACCTTTGGTTGTATGCGTGAATTATACATGCATAAGAACTATAAAGTATGTATGTTTGTGTTGTTATTTACTGCTCTTGCTTTAGCTGGCAAGAAATTAATTTTATTAGTTTTCTAGCGCAGATCATGACCTATCCCAAATTTGTGTTAATATATGTATGCATTTTGTGTACTGAGGTTGGCTTCGCAGAAAATATGTATTTCTAAGTCGATGCAAATATGAACATAATTTCTTTAAATTTAATTAATTTTATTTTTACTCTCCAATTAGGAAATAAAAAAGTGCTAAAAATACAATTACATTTCAAGTCGACTCGAAAAAAACGAAAAAACGAAAAAACTAAGAAAATGGTTTCTTTGCCAGCCAGAGACTTTGCCAGAGGAGTGGATAACAACACATTCAAATATGCTGTTATGTATATATATTCACACGCATACAAACATAATTGCTTGCACGGCCCGCGCGTTACGAATTTGCTTGCGATAATTGAAAACTTTCCCCATATTCAATCAATCGATACTGAAAATTTTAGAAAATCTGTTTGGTTTTAAGAGCTAAAATCACCAAATTAGGCTTATAGCTCTTTGAATTCAAGTATTTTTCATTTTTTACCACACACAGTCAGGTTTAAGCTGATTGGAACTACCCACCACTTTAAGCCAAAATTTTAATATTGTTGTCTTTATAGACTTTTTTAATACTTTAAAACACAATAAGATTTTTTGCCGAAATTTCATCAAGAACTTCATTAAAATCGGCGAAGAAGCGAAGAAGTTATTAAAGAACGTGTGAACTTATTAATAAAAATAAAGATACTTTACTTTTTTCGTGATTCTAGCGTGATTCTATTTTGAGATTCTTTGCTCAAAAATCCGGAATTCGATATCGATTCTTACGATTACTTGGAAAAGGGCAGATCATCTATTATCAGAAAATAAATTGGCAATGCTCGGGCACAAGTCTCCACCTCTTATAAGCTTTGAGATCATTGTGTTCATACATATGGACAGACGGACGGAGATGTCAAAATAACTCTCACAAATATATTATACCCCTTTATACACATTTTCAATGGCTTCAGGGCATAAAAAATGTAATGAAAAATAAATAACTACAATAATTAGTAGATTTAGTAGATCTAACAGCTTTGGCACGTAGCAGCTTTGGCAATTCCATCAAACACAACAGCTCATTTTCTGATTTAAAATATACGAGTGCTCTAGTCGTATTTGCCCGCTAGGGGATACCCTGAACCTTCTTACACTTTTTACTGGTTTAATAAAAAAAATATAACATAACAAAAACATAGAAACAAAGATTACATTAACCTTTAGCCGACCAATACCAATCACAATGGATTTTTGTGAAATAGCACCATTGCTTAGAATGTAATAAAAAAGATTATGGAAAAATTAGTGAGTAGTGTTATGAAACCTTAGTCCTATATAACATCTCATGGCTGTGACTATTTAGGTATATATACATACCCATCAAGCACAATTTCAGCCGAACAATCTGTTTAAATTTTTAAATGCAGCTGCAACGTGCGAGAACTATTGTGTTCATACATATGGACAGACGGACGGAGATGTCAAAATAACTCTCACAAATATATTATACCCCTTTATACACATTTTCAATGGCTTCAGGGCATAAAAAATGTAATGAAAAATAAATAACTACAATAATTAGTAGATTTAGTAGATCTAACAGCTTTGGCACGTAGCAGCTTTGGCAATTCCATCAAACACAACAGCTCATTTTCTGATTTAAAATATACGAGTGCTCTAGTCGTATTTGCCCGCTAGGGGATACCCTGAACCTTCTTACACTTTTTACTGGTTTAATAAAAAAAAATATAACATAACAAAAACATAGAAACAAAGATTACATTAACCTTTAGCCGACCAATACCAATCACAATGGATTTTTGTGAAATAGCACCATTGCTTAGAATGTAATAAAAAAGATTATGGAAAAATTAGTGAGTAGTGTTATGAAACCTTAGTCATATATAACATCTCATGGCTGTGACTATTTAGGTATATATACATACCCATCAAGCACAATTTCAGCCGAACAATCTGTTTAAATTTTTAAATGCAGCTGCAACGTGCGAGAACTATTAGGGCAACTTAATTGTAATCAGTTGATATTGACTTTTATTTAGAAAAATATGCGCTGTTCTTTGAACAAATCAAATATTGCACGTTCTGCCAGTACATTTCGTAAGGTTTTGAAGTAACAGTCCATATAGAGCTCGTTCCATAGGAAGAAGTTCGTAAACGATATTTTGTAACTGATAGGGGTCTTGGTGCAAATCGTATGCCTCAAGAAAATTCTATAAGTAATTAAAACGTAAAAGTTTCGTATTGGACATTTTATAATTTCACTTAGTTACCTCAGTATCCCGGAACTCACAATAGATGCGATCGAGGTTGTACCGAAAATCACGAATACACGTGTATGTATTGTTCCATGAATCTTGGCAATGACAATCTGCATCCAAAGTACATTGCGCTAAATGGTCAGTACGATGTCCTGGGCAAGCCGGATTATATGTATCGTCGTTTCCTTCACCCCAATACTCAATGAGCAATACACGTTGTTTGGAAAATTGCAGCTTTTTATTTTTCTGTTGCTCCTTTAGCAACTCACTTTTAAAAGAGCGACCATCTATATAATTTGGGACCGACAAACCAACCCATTCCAGTATGGTAGGCGTTAGGTCTACCAAACTGACGGGCATGTCCATCAAGCGGCCGGCTGGTACGCCTGGTCCACGGATAAGTAATGGAACTTTGATGTCAGTATCATAAGGTTGTCGTTTATCAAAAGGCTGCGCAAATTGTCCTAAGTGGTAACCATTATCAGAAGTGAAGATGATGTAAGTATTGTCAAGGCATTGGGTTTCATTAAGCACTGTTACCAAAGTCACCATCATTTCATCAACCGCTAGCAGCGTTTCCCACCGCCTCTGAAAATACTTATCTATTGTGAAGACCGAGTCATTTGACAAATGCTGAGCTGATCTGACCAACCAATGTTTATCTGCGGAAAGAATATTAGCATGAATATAGATTAATGCTACATACGTACTCTTATCGGGAGCGTTAAAGCTAGGAGTGCGTAACGCTCGCACTTGAGAAAATACCCCTTCATGACGCGGGGCTGGTGTGAACGGTTCGTGAGCGGCTGGGGGAGATACCATTGCAAAAAATGGTTTCGAATGACGATTCCTTGTTGAATTACGAATAAATTCCGCCGCTTTGTCCCTCAACAGGTCTGTCAAATATATATCCGTAAAGCTCACATTTTTTGTGTTTTCACGCAGTGTATAGTTATAATAACGCGAATTCCCGTGGAGGCCATAAAACTCATCCCAGCCATGTGGAACTTCAGCGCCTTTAAATTGGTTTAAATATTTGCCAGCAAAGAATGTTTGATAGCCATGCTTCTGTAATAGCATAGGCAACGAGCGTGGCTCGAACATTGTACGCCAGTAAAGGCCATTGCAGCCACCACTTAATGAATTATTGATTGTCCTATGGTTGTGTGCATACTGTCCAGTTAATAGGCTTGCTCGCGCGGGACAACAAATCGGCGTACTAGTAAAGGCATTGGTAAATTTTGTGCCATACTTGCTATAATGTTTCAAAGTTTGCTGTAGTGGATACAGACCGTGTAGTTCTACATCCTGATCATCACTTAATACTAAAAGCACATTTGGTGCGGACAATTTTCGCATAAATCCAAAGGTATGGTAAAAGTACAACACAAAACTAATTCTCACGAGAACCTTAATCTATTTAGGGAATTAAAAAGGCAATATAACTAAGCAAATTAGAAATTTCAATTATACTCACCATTCTATTTTTTGGCTGTTCTTTGTGCGTCAAATTAGCGTAGGTCACTTAGCGTTGATTTTCGGAACTTGATTCCGAAGCCTACACATTTATAAATTCTTTGTAAAATAATAAATTATTTACTGCCTATATACATTTGTTTTAAATTTTAGCTTTACATATATAGGAACTAAGAGGTTAATAAATTACATGTTACCATTCATTTATTATCTTAATATTAATGGCCCAAATAATTGATGAGAACGTTTTTGAGACTTTTGTATATCAGTACAGCCAATCTCTTAGGTAACCCCAAAATCACCGTACAAAATTAACCTTAATATTGAAACCAAAAATCTATTCACGAGGATAATGACGCTTACATGTTTTAGGGAGCTTTAAGCATTTATTTAAAATAAATTGAACAGCAAGTTCTTTAGATAAATAATTGATTTTAAATACATCTCATGTTAGTTAACAAAGATGTGCGTTGCACAACTAGTTCCCACAGGAACTCAGCCACTGCTAAGAATCAGTGTTGAATAATTGTATATAGCATTGAACGCGAACGAATGAATTGTTATGATCCTACTTGTCGTTCACATTCCTTTTATCGATTTGCCGGCTAGACAGAAATCAACCAGGGATGAGTAAGTCCTCAATATATGAAAGAGTCGGTTAACAAAATAATTTATATATAAAATTGGACTTAAAATTTCGGTTTCTTTTCGAACACTCTAATCGGACAACCGAAAACATGCATACATGCGGAGCCCTCCCCACCATGAGTTGGCCTTATATGCACCTGCCTTACACCCTTATCTTATCTACCATAACTTCTTACTCGAACATTTCATCGAAATTCTAAAAAAGAAGGGCGCGCGTCAGACGCGTGCCAATAATGATATTTTCTTTGCGCCCATGATCTGCCCATTCACAGACATGTGTATGTGTGTGTCTGTGTGTAGAGGTCCAAAATCAGAAATCCTAAAATCTTGTTAAATTTGCATCGGGGACAGGCAGGCAGGCAAGCAACAGGCACACAAGCGCATAAATGCTTATATTCATATACACAGTATGCAAGTTTGCGTGAATAGCGAGTCCAAAATATTTTAAATACACACATGGCAACGCTTGGGTACCCTTACCAACGATAGCGAGCTAAAATTCAAGAATTTCGCATCGACGTGGCAAACCCTTTCTCTATTTCATATTAGCCATGCCTTCAAAAGGGTAGAAATGCCTCAGCATTTGAGAAAAATTGAATTTGTGCGCAGTTTTGCTCGTCGGACAAATACACACACACACACACACACATTGAAACGGTCCCTAAACATAGAGAGAGCATTGAAAGTGCGAGCAAGATTAAAGTTAACAGCGTTGAAGTTCTATCGCACAAATCATATGGAAGAGAGTGCGCCAAGCACTTTCCTGTAGAGTAAGCGGTTCAAAAATACATTATATGTATATCTTACTCCCTTACTCGCGATTTTGGACCAGATGCCTCCGATACTTTTTGTGACAACGCTGTTTGTATGTGATGTCCAGTCTATATGTTGTTTGGTTAGTAATTATATGTAGGATCCATATTATCTATGTTATTAAAATATTTTTATCAATCGATATATAAGAACGTATGTATTCGTTACAAGTTCTATGACTTCTTTCTACTGTTCCAAGTGTCGGATGGTGCTGTTCTGTAGACGTTAAGTTGTCTTATCTTTAGGTATTTACACAGGTCATTTACAATACAATTTTTATATTCAGTTCCCATGTCCGAAATGAACGTCTTTATGGGACCCAACTTCAGTATAAAAGATTCGAATATTGCTTTTGCAACTGTCTTAGCGGATTTGTTTGGTACTGGAATAACTACAAGATATTTTGTCAAATCGCATATCATTGTAATTGGATATTCCTTTCCATTTTCGGATTTTGGTAGTGCACCTATAGTGCCCACTATCACTCTGACGAACGCATTTATCGTCGCTTCTGTAATGGTCAGAGGTGTTTCGACTTTTGGCATTTAGGACATCAACGTATGTATTTGGTTATATGACGTGTCATATTTTTTCAGTAGTAGTATCTTTTTATTTAGCTATCGTTCTTGAAATGCCAGTATGACCTCCTTGCATAGGATCGTCATGATATGTAAAAAGTCACCGGCTCGAATTGCGCTACTCGTACTGATTTTAATGTTTTGTTGCCCATATTTTTAAAAGATTCAATTGAAATTATTTCAAATATCTTTTTGCTTGAGTTGGCTGATCTCATGTATACCGGCTATTTTTAAGCATTTGGAAAAACTGACCTACGTCAAATGTTCCATTGGTGTACAGATCGCTAACATCAATTCTTGCTAAATATTTTCTTTCATGTTTGAAGAAACATATATTATTTAATATAAGCAAGGCCACTACTTTTCGTACTTCGTCATTACAAATGACTTCATATACGTTGGGCTTAGAAGCGTTCTCAAGAGATTGCATAATCAAATATACTTGATCTTTTCCTGCGCAGGAGTTTTTATATATGGTCATATGAACCATGACCATGGGTTTCTGGTTGGTCTAGCCGGAACAGAGAATTGAAGACGCCTTAGCGGAAAAGGAGAATCTATATCACCAACAATCAACTTATGTAGAAAGATAACACCGAGAATTGCCCTACGGTTGGTTAACGACGGAAGGTTAAGAAGAAGCACTACTTCTGCTGGAGTAGGATGTTAACCGAAGATTAGGGTCCCAATTCAAACCTCGTAAGGCAAAAAGCACAAATTGCTTCTGAACAGATTCAATCCTGACAATCCTGGCTATTGTTATACAGCGAAGACCATTTGCAAAAGCAGTATTCAAGGATAGGGCGAACAAGAGAGATGTACAGAAGTTTTGTTATAAAAGGATCGTTAAAATCTTTAGACCATCGCTTAATGAATCCAAGTACACCTTTTGCCTTATTAACAATGGTATCTATATGAAGATTGAAACAGAGTTTAGAATCAAAAATAACGCCTAGATTCTTAACTGTTAATATACGTTGCAAAGGTATATTGTCGATTGTATAACTGACAAGATGAGGTGTAATACGATTAAATGTCATAAACATACACTTCGAACAATTTTGATGCAATTTATTGGTCGAACACCAAGGTTACTTAGCGTTCAAATCGTCTTGTAGATGAGAATGATTAAGGGGACTTGTGTATGATTGAAAAAGTTTCACATCGACCGCATACATGAGTACACGAGCATGTGATATAACAGAGGGGAGATCATTTATAAAAAGAGTAAAGGTCCAAGATGACTATCTTGAGAAACACCAGAAGTAACGTGAACCCGTTTAGAGGTAGTCAGCCTCAGCATTACTCTTTGGGTCCTACCTTTTAAATAAGAATTAATCCAAAGTAAAAGAGACAGAGGGAAACCTATTCGGTCAAGTTTAAAAAGTAAAATGTCATGGAGCACTAAGTCAAACGCCTAACTGAAGTCAGTGTAAATGACATCAGTTTGCATTTTTGAAAGGAATGTATCATTTAACAAGGAAGTACGCTCAAGCAGATTGGTCGTAGTTGACTGATTCTTTACAAATCCATGTTGAGCAGGGGAAACAACTAATTTGCAGAAATGCTGCAAATTCAAAGTGATTAGTTTTTCAAATAATTTAGGAATAGCGGACAGTTTTGCAATGCCCCTGTAATTTTGTATATCAGCCTTCCCACCTTTCTTGTGAAGAGAAATGTCATAAGATTTTCTCCAAAGAGATGGGATAGATTAAAAGCTTTAGCAATGATAAAGAAGGGAAGAACTACACTCCTTGAGTAGACAGCTAGGAATAAGTTGATTGAAAAGTAAGTTGATCGGAAAAAATAAGTAAAGAGGTTATCAGAATCGGAGTCATTGCTAGCATTATCCATCCCAAGAGAAAAAGAAGATGGCAAATTTGAAGATTTACGCTTCAAGATTACAAAGTTATAAAACTGTCTCGGATTTTGGGCAAATTGCTTTTTACAACGAGTTAGATAATTCTCATAGCAATGAGAATTAATAAGAAAGAAGTTCGATTTGGCTATGGAATATTTAGCCAAGTCTGCACACGAACCAGACTTTTTAAACTCTTTAATAATATTTAATAATTTCCTTTGCGTAAGCAACGGCGGAGCTTATTGGCTGATGAGCATGAAATGAAAGGATTACAATTCAACATTGCAACCTCTAAAGTAGGATGACATACATCCTCAGGAAGAGATAAAGTATGGGACCTAGAAACATTAGAAATTAGGTAGTCGTTAACGAACACAAGGTCAAGTGTTCTATTCAAATGATTTGAAATTGAATTGCCTTGAAACAACGAAAGATCACGCATGCAGTTTATAAAATCGTGCTGTGCTGAGGGCACTAGATAATTTTCAGCAGTCACCCAACACCATAAATAGGTTATTATCACGCACGTGTGAAGAAACTTCTTTAATACAAGTTATATGTTTCATATAAACTTGAATATGGCCGTGCCAGTCTGGTGAATGCTTATCAGCTTTGAGTCTACCTACACACTGCTCAAATACTAGCTGAGACATAGGCAATAATTTTAAATATGAATATTTGTATTCACCAATCAGCTGTTTCGCTGCACTCAGATTTGCTCATACCGGCTATACAATTAAAAATCATCTAAAACAATGTTGACTCTATCAAAATAAAATTGTTGCTTTTGCCGATTACACATTCATTGAAATTACTAATGTAATTTTTTGTGAGCATTGCATAGCCTTATACTATAATTATTAAATGCATTTTGATATAATGTCGTAGAAGAATGTTTTTTTTTTTTGGGGCCTTTAATAATTTAAACGCTAAATATCATGGTATCGAACGCGAGAGTCAGCTTACATCCAAGACCTCGCCTCTACGGAACACATATGCCCGAATGAAAGCTGTTGGCACTTTTAGTGCTCGTTTAGTTGCGCCTATTTGAGATTTTGTTTCTTCGAAGTATAGCTCCTAAATTTAGTTTCTGTAGGGATCTTAATATAAAATTGTGTGTGCAGGTCAAGACATAGCTAAATGAACCCCCCACCAAAAAAAGCTAGGGAAAAAGAGGATCCCGCCTTGCCCTGCTAACTTAATCACGAGGAGGCTCGGTGAATACTTCCCAAATCATTTTGTGAAGATTGGCTACCAGCCGTCGTCACCGTTGCTACCAGATTTGTATTGCTTGACAGCTTTACCACAGTACATACTACCACTAACCAAACAACATATAGACTGGACATCACATAGAAGAAATGTTGGCACAAAAAGTATCGGAGGCATCTGGTCCAAAATCGCGAGTAGGGGAGTGAGATATACATATTATGTATTTTTGAA